AGACACAAAGAAAAATTGAGATTAGCTTAAATTGGCACGTTCTCCACGAGCCATTTATTTACAGATTAAATGTATTTACAACTATGGCAAACAATGAATGAATGATGACATRTTTGAACCAGGTAAACTGAGAGAGTTTGTTATCACAAGTGAATGAACAGACAGACAAACGAAAACAAACAACGTATAACAAAAATAAACACTGAGAAGTGTCTTGAGGCTCTGAATGAGGGAGGTGTGGTTGTATAAGCTGTTTCTGTGGTTGTTTTAACTAGGACATCCTAGCTAAATTAAGGTAGATAAAAACGTTTAGTTTACCAACTTTCCTACAAAGATAAAAATCAAATCTACGTCTGAGCACCTGTGTGTATTTCACCAAGACAAGTGTTCACCTTTCCTTTGTGTTCTGCCGTGTGGGTACCAGGAGTGGTTGAAGTCAGCTGTGGAAGACCATCTCTGGAGCTTGTCCTCCAGACAGGCTCTTCATGTGAACTAGACGCCAGGCGGTCGGCCTGGTTGACTCGACTGGTCCCGTGGTCAGAAAGGAGTCCTTCCTCTGGTGACTTGGTCCTGGCTCTAAACAAGTGGTTTCAAGACTCAATTTGATTCTCACTTTGTAGAAAAACGGACTAAACGACGTTGAATTACCATTAGCTTATTATGACTCCTTTAAAAATCAAACTCAAGGGCTGAGTCGAAGTGAGATGGTCGAGCTATTACGAGTCAAAATGGCGGAGAGGTTGAATGACCCCCCCCCCCTTTTTGCAAGAGGGGGTCTCTCAACCTGGAAGCTGCTTCTCTGTCTGCGGTCTTCTTCTGTGTGTCGTGTCTTCTGTGTGTACTAAAACCTCTGTTATGGGCGGAGTCAAGGTTTTAGTTAGCCAATTGAAAAACTTTGGTAAAGTTTTTAACAAATCAAAATGTTTGGAGGGAAAACATTGTTTTTCAGACAAAGAATGGGAGTGTTTTAGTCTAATTATCTTGCATCTAATTAAAGGGAGAGGCATCTGCTTTACATCAGTAAAATAAGGATGTCTATTTAGTTAAATTCAAAACGACGGTTCTAAGGTTAACTCATGTAATCACGCAGTTTAAAGAAACATCTTCAGAAAAGCATTTCATCAATAAACCCACAAAGTTAGAACAATGTTCTTAGTGGGCGAACACAGTTAACAAGAACAGAGTAGTTTTCCTCTTTATTCACTCAAGCATGGGGCTTCCTTTTGTTCAAGTCGTGCTGAGAGGGTGCTGGCAAAGCAATTGTTGACAACAACCACCTTTTCCTTTGAAGAAAGTAAATAGCTTGTCCTTATGGGGGTTGGAAACAGCAAGGTGACAATGTAAATTCTTTCAGTGGTCTTCTGAGGCGCCATGGTAACGGTTGATATGCTAATTTGAAGCACAAAGGTTCATGCAAGATCCTTAACAAGAGTCTGAAATGAATATATCTTATTTCTTTCCCCAAACAGTCATAACAACAAGTTATATCCACCAAAAATCATAACTTGAATGAGGAAAGCGCTTACAGCACTTCCTAAAATTAAAATGCAGTACCGCTAATAACTAATTATCTATCAGTCTTCATCATCTTGAGCAGCAGAAGGTACGGCTTATCACTTAAAACAGGGGCAGAACATCATCTGATATTATAGTAAATAAAATTCCAGAAAGAGTTCGTTATTTTCTTGAACAGCAGAGAGGGCTTGCTGACAGTGACCAACACCATGAGGAAACACAGTATTGACACACCGCCCTCTCAGACATATGGTAAAATAACAATGAATGTTATCCTGTGACTAACTGTTTTGCATGACGGTTCTG